AGAGAGAGAGAGAGAGAGAGAGAGAGAGAGAGAGAGAGAGAGAGAGAGAAGGGGTGCGCCTCCGCCGCCCTGGTTTCCTGTGATCACGATGTCATCTCCTGACCAGTTCCGTTGACAGTGAGCCTCCCACGTGCGCCCTGCCATCATGGTTCTCTCCTCCCCCCTCCCCACTCCACTCCTCTCCTCCCTTCGTCGTCTGTCTCCGCGCATCCCTTGTGGCGTGTGTGTGTGTGTGTGTGTGTGTGTGTGTGTGTGTGTGTGTGTGTGTGCGTGTGTGTGTGATTTGGTTTGTTCTTGATGGTTTGTTATTGTTTTTGTAACACTTCTTAACAGAAGTAAGGGTAACAGGGAAAGATCAGGGAAACGTAGCTTTTTTTAGAGCGTCCGAGCAAAGGAATAAATGGAGAACCATGATCGCCGATGTCTGTCGCAGATCTGGCCCTGGATGATGATGATGATGATGATCTTTAACAGAATTCTGTGACCCAACTGTAGGCATTACATAGTTTTAAAATTAAGTTAACAGGTTGGGGGGGGGGGTTGTCTGCTTCTTCTATTTGCAGAGGTTGAGATCATCATTGCCTTTCTCACTCTGCATCAGAATATAGATCACAAACAAACACTTTCCACCTTTCCCTATCCGGGACCAGTCGCTTGATGTCACTCGATGTCTTTCTCCTTTTCTGTACATCCATTTCTGTGACTCTTCTCCAGGTTCCACGTGGTCTTTTACCCTGTGGCTTCCTATTGAGATATCAATTTAAAAAGAACTGATTCGTTCCTTGAGCTTGGATGACCTGCACTGGGATTTTGGTGCCATGAAGGCAAACGAAAATGCCAGTCGATTCTGCTTGGGGGATTCAAAATGTATTATCCGTATAGGTTCGTCTTAAGTTGAGCTTTTGTTACGCATATTACGAAACGATTTTACTTGAAAACAATTCTAATCAAGTCTATTTCGGGGTTATCATGACTACTATGTTAACAAAAGACATAATAATTTCGTTGCTTGCAAATTATCTTCCGAATATAAGACCGAAGTTTCTCATATTATGTGATTAATTTTCTATCTTAGGCGAGAAAATTAGAATAACGAACCATCTATCTATCTATCTATCTATCTATCTATCTATCTATCTATCTATCTATCTATCTTCATGTATCTATCTATCTATCTATCTATCTATCTATCTAACATTACCAAATCAGACACATGTTTGTATAAATCTATCTACTTGTCTATCTTGCAACGACTCACGTATATCTATCTTTTCTCCGGTCTGATTGTTTTTTTCATGTCTCACTATACACTGGCACAAATATGCTCCCGCACACACAAACGACGCGCGCAAACAAATTCCCCACGTGTGCGAGCAAGTACACACGCACACGCAGACACATAAACACACACATACACACAAGCAAACACACACATACACACACACACACACTCACACACTGACACTCACACACTCACTCACGGGCGCTCTAACACTCTCACCATGCACAAGCAATCAAAAAAAGACTCGCTCTTGTATGCAAGCTCACCCCGTGAAATAGTAACATCTGCAAAACGAACGCGATAGCAGTGATAATTCCACTGTAAAACTAACGCTGACGATAGTGATGACAGTAGCGGCAATCCGCGCAATGCTAATGACGTTGAGGATGTAATGACAGTATCAAAAATAACAACAATAAAAAGACAAAAGTTATTTTTGATACTTATAAAGTAGAACAACGATGATACCAACAATAACAATAATAATGAAAAAGATAAGAAATAGAAGGAAACAAAGAAGAAGAAGAAGAAGACGAAGAAGAAGAAGAAGAAGAAGAAGAAGAAGAAGAAGAAGAAGAAGAAGAAGAAGAAGAAGAAGAAGAAGAAGAAGAAGAAGAAGAAGAAGAAGAAGAAGAAGAAGAAGAAGAAGAAGAAGAAGAAGAAGAAGAAGAAGAAGAAGAAGAAGAAGAAGAAGAAGAAGAAGAAGAAGAAGAAGAAGAAGAAGAAGAAGAAAAAGAAGAAGGAGAAGAAGAAGATGAAGAAGAAGAAGATGAAGAAGAAGAAGAAGAAGAAGAACAACAACAACAACAACAACAACAACAACAACAACAACAACAACAACAACAACAACAACAACAACAACAATAACGACGACGACGGCAATGATAATAATAATAATAATAATAATAATAATAATAATAATAATAATGATAATAATAATAATAATAATAATAATAATAAATGATGAGATAATAATAATAATGATAATGAAAATGATAATGATAATAATATATAATATTACTAATAATAATAATATTAATAATAAAAATAACAATAATAATAATAATAACAAAAACAAAACAAAAACTGGTAATAATAATGATAACAGCTCTTTATTTTAGTTCCCCTCCTCTTCCTCTTTATAACGACCAGTCTCGTTGACTTTGACATTTCCCACACCATTAACCTCTGAGTGTATCACGGCTGAATTAAGACTAGCCTACCTGATCATTCTATCTTATTGTACCTCCCCTACCCGTTCTACGTTGTGAGAGTATTGCGCAAGCAATGTAATTGCTGCAAACGTTTCTTGTTTTTTTATTTTGATAATATTTTCCTTTTTTTCTAGCTTCCTGTATTATTGTTTTTTATAATATGCTTTTTTCGTTTGTTTTTTAAATAGCTATTTCTTGGTTTGTTGTTGGTTTTTTTGTTGTTTTTTTTGGTTGGAAGAGGGGGGGGGGGGTGTTGTGCTGAATCATAGATTGCTCGATTTTTTTATTTTTTTTTTCTAAATGAGCGTATTATGTTGAACAGCACACTACACGTTGTATAGCGATAACTAGTTATAAATGTCTTCCAAAATTTTCATTAACATTTGGGCACTAAGAGTTTTGTTGGGGGCTCTCGTGGCCTAGAGGTTAAGGTGTTGGCCTCTCATCCAAAGGTCCCGAGTTCGAATCGGGGTAGCGACCGAAAAATTTTCTTCGCTAAAATTGTCTCCTTTCACCTCCTTTCCTGCTCTCTAGCAATGTTCTGTTGTCTGCTTTCATTTCCACTTTCTGCCCCCACCCCCTCACCTCCTTTGCCCCCTCCTCTGGGCTCTTGACTCTTTCTGCAGCCTTTCTACTGCTACTCCTTGGCTCCTCCTTACTGCTGTCTTTCTGCCGCACCCCTGATCTTCTGGTAGGAAAGATCTACACCTAGCCTTCCGGACAAGGACGAAAAATCTCGGAGGGCCCGTGTGCAAGTTGCGCACGTTAAAGACCCCTTGGTGGTCTAAAATCGATAAGAGTAGGCTTAGGCCGCCACCCGGGCAAAATTCAAAATTTCCTACCAACTGAAAATATTAGGAGTGTCCCGCGCGTTCATATGACCTATGCAGTTGCGAGCGCCGTAAAACACTTTACAAAAACAAACAACAAAAAAACAAGAGTTTTGTTTGTTTTTTTGGGTAACTCTTAAGGGTTGCGGGAAGATTTTTTTCTTCATATTACATTATTAACTACCGTCGATAGATATCATATGAACACGATTTCTTCTTCTTATACCCAAATCGAATTTGCTAGATCACATAGATATTGTATCCCTCTCCTGAGTACGCATCGTAAAACAAACATCTACCTTGGAAATGTAAGATGTTTGAGAAGTAGATCTTAGTTAGCCGTTGATACCAGAAGTTGGCGGGAAATTTTAATGATAGATGTTTGCCAATAACCCGCTTCTCCATGTATTCAAAGCACGCGGTTTCTCTTCAAGGTGTGGATTACTAGTAGTGTTTAGGAACCTCGTCGTCGCGCGAAGAGTAGAAGCTTTTGTTATGATGTTTTGTTACTGTTATTTTTGTTGTTGTTGCTGTTGTAGTTTTGTTCTTTCTGTATTAGTCTTTTTAAATCAAATATCGCGGTCTGTCTGCTAAGATGCAGTATCCCAGTCAGCTAAGGTTGTCCTGACAGACCGGGTTGAAGCAGCTCGCCTTCAAAATTATCTATATTGCGTGTGTGTGTGTGTGTGTGTGTGTGTGTGTGTGTGTGTGTGTGTGTGTGTGTGTGTGTGTGTGTGTATGTGTGTGTTTGTGTGTGTTTTAGTTTTTTTCCTTGTGTTTTTTCTTTTTGCTCGAGGGGGGGGGGGCATGTACAAGTAAAACAAAAACACAGTTACAATAACAATATTGTAGGCAGGAATCGGGACTGTGGTGCATTAAATTGTCGCCGCATTAGCGAGTTTTTGTTTTTAATCAAATTGCAACAGAAGCAGACCTTTCATAAGCTGGATTAGCAGTCTTTGGTTTACTGATTTTTGTAATCAGATTGCTGCCGATTGATGAAACGTGATATATCTGTTTATCTGTCTCATTCCTACAGTCTTAATCATAAAAACAAACATAATATGTATGCACAAAAGGGTGAAAATGCAGTCTTAATCACCGATTTAAACACCTGAATTCACATTAATATAGTACCTCCACCCCCCCCCCTCTCTCTCTCTCTCTCTCTCTCTCTCTCTCTCTCTCTCTCTCTCACACACACACACACACACACACACACACACACACACACACACACACATACACACATACACACGCATACACGCACACACACACACACACACACACACACACACACACACACACACACACACACACACACCACGCACATATCACCACACCATAGATAAATTATGTTGTTTTTCGTTGTTTTCTATAATTTTTGTTTTTGTTTAATTAGGATGCCGGGAGAGAGGTTCTCCAATCTATTAGCGTTCGTGTGTGAGTAAGCGAAGTTTGTTGGGGTTGAAGTAGTCCTATATAGAAGTAATACTACAATATTATTATTATTTATTATTTTAAATTTTATACGCCAGCCTTGATTGAATGAAAGAAAAAAATACATGCATGTTAAATACGTTTTTAAACAGAAGTGTATCTGATTTAGCGTGTGTTCTTTTATATTTGTATTTGTTTTTGTGAGTTTGTTGTCCTATGTGTTTTTGTTTTTGTATTTGTATATCTGTGCTTGTGTTTGCGCTTGCGCTTGCGCGTGTGAGCGTGGTTTGAGTGTGTTTGTGGTTGTGTGTGTATGTTTGTGTGTGAGTGTATGTGTGTGTGTGTGTGTGTGTATGTGTGCGTGCGTGTGTGTAACTGTGTTTGTGTATGTATGTAACTAAGTGCGTGTGCGTGCGTTTGTTTGTATGAGTGTACGTGTGCATGTGTGTGAGGGGAGGGGTAGTTAATAACCTCTCTGCCAACAGACAAGAAGAGTGCAGCTCCTTAAACAGTAGGGCCCCATGCAAAAACAGGCGTCCTAGAGCATTCATTCTCTTTTGTTATATTTGCTTTAATATTGCAAGAATGTTTCTTCCAAATTAAAAATAGTATAATTCCTTCCGCTGATTGTGATATCGATTATTATGCTGGTCTGAAAGTGATAACTTCTTAAATCTTCATTCTTATATCCATCGTGAAAAGTGTATTAATATTTTTATTTTAAAATTACCATTTGTAAGTGTACTTATACTTTCAGTTTGCCCTAACTGTTAGGATCGAAACAGTTTGGGGGGGGGGGGGGGGGTCTCGTGGCCTAGAGGTTAAGGTGTTGGCCTCTCATTCAAAGGTCCTGGGTTCAAACCCGTGTAGCGACCAAAACATTCTCTTCTCTAGAATCGTCTCCTTTCACCTCCTTCCCTGCTCTCTAGCAATGTTCTTCCGTCTGCTTCCGTCTCCTCTTTCTTCCCCACCCCCTCACCTCCTTTGCTCCTCCTCTGGGCTCCTGATTCTTTCTGCAGCCTTTCTACTGCTGCTCCTTGGCTCCTTCTTTCTGCTGACTTTCAGCCGCACCCCTAATCTTCTAGTAGGAAAAATCTACACCTAGCCTTCTCGGACAAGGGCGAAAAATCTCGGAGGGCCCATGTGCAAGTTGCGCATGTTAAAGATCCCTTGGTGGTTTAAAATCGACAAGAGAAGGCTTCGGCCACCACCCGGGCAAAAATTCAAAATTTCCTACGAACTGAAAAAGTTTAATTAATGTGTCCCGCGCGCTCATATGACCTTTTGCAGTTGTGAGCGCCGTATAACACTAACCCAAAAAAAAGAAAAAAAGAAGCAGTTTTTCTCTCTAATTATCTCAATTGTTTGTTTTTCTGTTTTGTTTAGTTTTCCTTTTTTTATATAGGTCTTATCCAATCCAATCAATACATTTTAAACTTCTTTGGGATGGGCTAGTAGCAGACAAAAGCAGCATTATTGACACTATTATTGTCTTCATCACTATTACTAGTAGTAGTAGTATTGTTAAATATTATTTTTGTTATCACTATCATAACAATACTGATTATTATGATTGTTATTATCATTTTTCTTCTTCTCTTTTTATTATTATTTTTATTATTATTATTATTATTATTATTATTATTATTATTATTATTATTGTAATTATTATTTTACTAGTAATAGTAGTAGTAGTAGTAGTAGCAGCAGCAGCAGCAGCAGCAGCAGCAGCAGTAGTAGTCATAGTCATAGTAGTAGTAGTAGTAGTAGTAGTAGTAGTAGTAGTAGTAGTAGTAGTAGTAGTAGTAGTAGTAGTAGTAGTTGTTGTTGTTGTTGTTGTTGTTGTTGTAGTAGTGGAGTCATTATTGTCGCCACCATTATTATGTCATTGTTAAAATTATTATATGGATCTCATTATTGTTGCTAAATAAAGATCATGATGATCATCTCCACAGGAACAACCATGCAGGTGTATATGCTCCTGCCGCTTGCTGTCTTTGCCTCTCTGACCTACCAGGGTGAGTAGATCAGACCACATGTTAAATAATAATAAAAATATATTTCACTCACATTACATTGTAGAGCATTTCCATTTTTTTTTTAAGTGCTCGATGCGCTTAGCATTAATACAAGAGAACACAAACACAGCAAGATTCTAATAACGATCATTTCTCCTCGCCTCTCTTCCTCTCTCTTTGATTATTTATAAATAATGAGCGAGTGGTAATAGCTGAAGAGAACAGTGTAGTTCGATGTTGAGAAAGAAAAGGGAAGAAACAAGTGTTAGCATATTTGGCTACTCTTAAATGGGTGACGACAGTAATGGCTCTATGAATCGAGAACGAAAGTGACGTAGATAAACTTAACAATGACCAAACACATTAAGCTGGAAGTTCTCTTATCAACTGACATCTATTCATATGAAACAGATGATATGGATTACGTTCGTTTTCCCGGCCTCCCGGCTAGGAGTTGGTGTATTTCTAGTTCCTGATACCCTAATACATTTATAACACTTACACGCACTCGTTGCACCGTCTAATCGCTTTTCGGACTTCGACAATAGAACGTCTGAGCAATCAAGGTTGTCGCTGTTGATGAAGTACATAAGTGCACTTAAATTTTACGGATGGAAGATCTACATTGAAAGGCTTCGACGTATTCAAAGTGCAATGCTAAGTCCGACAGCTTTTCTCAGAGATTTAAATAATTCGCACTATAGTGAACTGTGTTACAGTAAGATTAATTAATAGCGAAAAAAAAAACGCCTTGACAGTTTTAGTGCACTTTTTTGTTCGGACATTCTTTTTTTTTGGGGGGGGGGGGGGCTTGGGGATCGGTTCCTCTGATACTTTAGTTTTCATGCTTCAGCCGTACACTTTTAAGAAGGCCGACTACACTTTTGCCAAGGCTTGTAAACGACAACAATCAACTTTAAAGAACTGCATTTAGCAGACACACACGCGCGCACACACAGACACACACTCACTCACAAACATACATGTACTCCTACACGCAAACTCTCTCTCTCTCTCTCTCTCTCTCTCACACACACACACACACACACACACACACACACACACACACACACACACACTCACAAGAAAGTGAGAGAAAGATAGAGAGCGAAAGAGAATACAAAGACTGATAGGCAGACGGTCAGACAGACTGACAGACAGACAGTACAGACTGATGGAGATTTTAGCTCGCCACAAGCGTTTTTATAGAGCTAGTTGATCAAATGAGTACACGTCCTCCATCAACCGGCATTAATCATCAACGCAAAACGCAATTGCTAAAACAGGCTCAGAGGAAAAGAAGAAGATTGGAAAAGCAAATGTTACAAGCGCGAACCCTTTCACATCTCATTCCCCCGAATCAAACAAAGTCAACACGGATGGCTTACAACCGATGAGTCAATGTGCCACATTCTGTACCGTTTTAGCAATTAATTCATTTATTCTGACGTTTGAATGTCCACATTCTGTATTTTAATCAAAGTAAAATTAGTATTTATTGTAGAGATTCCACACGCCCATTAGCACAATTAAGATCAGTTCAAGGGCAGAACATGAGTGGAGAAATATATAAATGGTTGCGTAATTTAGAGCAGAGTGGAGCAGCCAATTGATGAGAATAATAAGGATTTGTGTATACTTGGACGAAGGAAGACCTTTGGTAATGTGATGACGGAAAAATACAGGTCTCTATTTTCACGTCCTATTGACCCTTTGTTATCGTTGTCGTTTCGTTGTCGTTGTTGTTGATGTTGTTGTTGCGGCTGCTGCTGTTGCTGCTGCTGTTGTTGTTTTTATTGTTTTAACTTATTAGTAATCTGTTATTGTATTATTCTTTTGAGATTGGTCTGTCACGTATTTAGTTAACATTTCTACCATGTGTTTTCCAAGTGGGAACCGGAGACTGGGGGTTCGGGGGAAATCTGACTTTGTAACAAAGTACAGAAAGCATGTACGCATGTGTTCTACCCAATGAGGGTGTTCCTTTAAATGGAGAGCATATTTGGTGTAATAAGAGTTAAACAGAATGCAAGTTTCTGGCCATTGACTATATATCTTCACATTTAAAATATCCATGTAGGGAAAGAATGGCAGTGCAGTCCTTAACAAACTCGTGAAAGAAAGGAATTAGTTCGTTCAGTTTTAGCTTTAGTAAGAGTGTAACGGCACGTGCAACACAATAAGGTCACAAAAAAGGAGGAGATAGGTGTTTGAGAGGAAAGAAGGAGCAAACCACACAAGAGCACCTGCTAACCACCTGCAGGCATTAGTTCAAATCTCTCTTAACGTGACTTCCGCTCTTCATCTACTGTTGTCTTCATTCAGAGCTCAAACACACAGGCCCCATAATAGACCATACTTTTTCCAGGCCAGAAAAATTATGTGCAGAAAAGTGCGGTTATGCCGTTCACACAGGGTCCGTACAGACAATACAGATTTTTCAGGTTTCAAGATGGCGCTCACTTGTAAGCCCACGATATTTCAGCTTTGGTGGTACAAAAGAAAAGCCCTAGCATCCAAACGGCGTCACTGGATTCACCCAATTTGTAAAGACAGGGGAGCTTTGGGAGAATTCAAATTGTGGCCCCAAATATTCGCTGATGTTGAGAAATGTTTGGAATATTTTCGAATGATGCCAACAACATTTTATGGACGAAATCTCTGTAGATGTAACTTTAGTCTTTTTTAATCATAAGGCGCTGTTCTTGCCCGCACAAGTTCAATAAGGTGTGCTTCATCCATTTTGCAACACGTGCGAAGTGTGTAGTGGAGTGTGTATGCCGGCGTGTTTAGTGACGTCAAGTCCCCTTTTCTGTCCTCACAGACCAGAAAATGTACGGCATGTTTGACGCAACCCAGATTGTGCTGTGGACGGGAAAAGCCTGGACGCAGCGGTCTGGATGTTGTGTACATTTCAAGTTGTAAAATATAATGCTGATCGCAAACGCACTTTTTATGTATGGTCTGTATGGAGCCTATGTGTTCGTATTGTTCACACTACCACGGTATAAACATAATATTATCATGATGGCTTACAATCAAAGCCGGAAGGCCTGGCTTCCGTGCAGAGATGCTGTTCGATTTCGAAATCATTTTGAAAGTACTCAACTTACCGGAAATTCGATGAGGAATGATGTCACGACCTAAACTACAACTTTTCTCAATCACACCACGTGTATGCCCTCTTAGCGACGCAAGAAGAAGATGAGAACTGCATGTTATTTACAACGATTTGTCAGAAAGATTGTCTCACTCGTACAACATAGCGGCAAGGAAATTGCTATGTAATTGGCTAGTGCGTGCTGTAAGGATTGTTAAAGAGCCACTGAAGAGCAGCTTGTGATTAATAACGAGAATGTTATGTGTTTGCTCAATTGTTTACTATATAAAAAGCACACCGCCTGTTCTTGTTTACGTATTTTCTGTATACGTGTGTCTTTGCTCTCAAGATCCAAAGGTTATGTCGTTTGCCTAGTTGTCGGAAGATGTCGGTCAGAAACTCTTCTCGCAGAGAATCCCAAAAAGCATTTTATAGAGAGGAAAAGCAATGCACTGTAATAATTAAGTCTTTTCCTTCTGCATAATCTCTATAAATAGCGCTCATTTAAGAAGACATGATAATGTAAAAATATGAGCCAATTTTTTAATAACCGTCTATCCTTCTGTTACGGAACACTCAAACGATTTTACAATAACTCGCTTAATTAATTACTTAATTTTAAATTTACTATCACAATCCTGTGGGAGATATTAAGCATAGCTGCCTCTGAGGCGCTCAAGCGAAGTTATTTGCCTTAATATCCCTTTTTACCATCGATTTTGCTTCCTTTATATTTAATAATGTCATGTTTGCGGGGAGGGGAGGGGGGTGAGGGGAGGGGAAAAGGTGTGGCTGTTTCTGTTCTTCTTTTTTCTTCTAAGGGGAGTGGGTGAGTATTATTCGGTGGCCTAGTGGTTAGGCTCTCGGACTCGCAACCGTAAGGTCGTGGGTTCGAATCCCGTCAGGGACCCGACGTTGTGTCCTTGGGAAAGGCACTTTACACGAATTTTCCTCACTTCACCCAGGTGGGAATGGGTACCCGGCTATAGACAGCGAAAGATCTTGTCAGTTTGTTAGTGTTTGAACGCTTAATCAGCTGCTTGCACTGTATGCTTCCCGGGAAGCTGAGAATGTTTCGGAGTGTTCTATGGTCTGCTGGGGTAATAATATAGTGTAAAGCGCATAGAGCCTGCTGTTGTGCGGGGATATGCGCTCTACAAATGCTATCTATTATTATCTATTATCTATTATTATTATTATTCGCTTTGGCTGTTGGTGCCATTTTGTTTCTTCCCTCGTGCTGTTGTTGTTGCTGCTGTTGTTGCTGGTGGGGGTGGAGGTGGTCGCACAGGTGACGTTAAGATGATGTATAGATCAAAGAAACAAAAATAAAAAATAAATTTGTTGAACGCAGTAGAGATATGCTTTTACGCTGTCTATATGCAACAAGTAAATCTACATAATATATTAACACTAACATACAAAGAACTCTGAATAATAAGTCGTGCTACGTAAGTTGTCAATGTGCGGCATAGTGTACTTTAAATAAGGTTTTGGCTCAAGAACACACATCAGTGTTCACTCATTTAGATACCATTTGATTAATACGCTTCGTGAATCTGCATTTATAGATCTTTCGAGAACTGCAACCCCACTATCCCTCTCCCATTCCCCTTCCCAGCCCATCGTCAAATGATTTCGTTGTTTGTTTGTTGTTTTTCTTTTTGTAATTGAGGTCGGCGGGGGTGTCGTTTTTGTTTTTGCTTGCTTTTGTCTTGTTTGTTTTTTGTTTTTTAACGAATGCCATCAGTCACAGAAATATTAAAAGTCATCTTTACTGCTCGAAACTTTTTGTTAGCAGTAGATCAAACATCGAGCAACAGGACTCTCGTACTCACAGTTACCTACGAGAATGAGGCAAATAGAATTATGTCAGACTTCCACCTTTCTTCCGCTAGTTTTA